TGGTTACTAGGAAATTACGAGGAAAATGGTTACTAGGAAATTACGAGGAAAGTGGTTACTACGACTTTACGAGGAAAAAGGCTTTACGATGAACGTGTTTCGACGAAACGCGTTTCCTCGTAAGTTCCTAGTAAAAGGCCATTTACTAGGAACTAACGAGGAAAACCTGCCCTAGTAATGGACGAGTTTTCTTGTAGTGCTATAAAACGCTTCCAAGAGTCAGTTTTACTTGTGATGAGCACAAATATGAACCAAAATCTTCAAACTTTACGTCAAAACAAATCAAAAAATGGAAGAGAAATGCATGGAGTTTATGCTAACGCAGATTATCCATTTGATCTAAACAATTTTCCAGAAGAGGAAGAAGAAGAAGAAGAAGAAGAGCAAGAAGAAGAAGAAGAAGAAGAAGAGCTTCCACCAAAGAAAGAAAGTCAAGCAATTGATGTTGATGGTGCACCACCTCCTGATGATCTAATGCTTGACGAAGACAAAGAACTTCAAGCTGACAAGGAGATGCAAAGTATGGTACTAGAGATGATTAAGATTTATCTGCCAATATATTTTCAGCGACGATGATAAGTCATTTCCCATTATGTTTATTTTAATATTAGCGATTGTTGTATGATTATCGATTGTTGCTTCTCAATGATTATCAATAAAATAATCTTTCTTAATCTGTTTTATACTGTACTGTACGAGTAACATAATTTTAAATGTAAATCGTGAAATATTACTTGATTTGTCGTTTTTGACTTTTGTTATCAACAATTACTTGCACTTGTGTAATGGTTAAAGAATTTTTTAGCGTTACTTAAACAACCTTTGTATAGCAATAACATTGTTCAACACAGAACATAACTGAAACTTATTATAAATATTTCAAACAATTATTATAAATAAGTACTAAAAAATCATAAACAAAACCAAATGAACACAAATATTAAAACAGAACGAACGAATCCAAGCTTAAGTTTCTAGTTGGTTTCTCACAGACTCCACAACATCAGGATCACACGTTATCTGTTCGGGAAGTAGACCAGCTCTTTCCAATGCTTCTTTTTTCATATGTGGAATTTTGTAGTTATTAGATCCTCCAACTCTCATAGTTTCTTGCATACATAGTTGCAAACTTAAAAATATGTGATTGATCTTGTTTGCAGGGTACTCTTCAAAAGCTTTTTTGACAGCAATAATAAGTTCTTCAACGTTTTTAGGACATACCTTATGTTGTAAGGCTTGGATAGCACTAAAGAACCCAAGGTCAAGAACATTTAAATCTGGAGAACTCGGCGGCTGACAGATCAGTCGAATGTCAAATCCATTTTTTGACCCAACTTCTTGAAAGTCTTTATCATTTGGATTTACATGCGTCCTCGCATTGTCTTGTTGAATCAATATAGGTTTTCCTAAATCTTCAGCTGGCCACTTTTGGTGAATGCTTGGAATAACTTCATCGAGCAAACAAGCTTTTATGTTTTCCCTTTTCACAGAAGTAATTGGTTTTATCTCTATGACTCCAGCTTCTCTATTTATACTTCGTCTTTGTGCAGGTTGCGTAGAGACAAAGGGAAACACTCCAATCTTTCCTGAAAAGACTTCATTACCCGCAGCATCAAATCTCGGACGAGCCATGGCAACTAAGAACATAACTTTGCCAATGAAATTCTTGCTTTGGCATGTCCTTAGTGGATCATCTTCTTCTGGAAGTAGATAATATTTTTCTACTTTCTTTGTCATATAAAACCACTTTTCATCAATATGTACAATATTGTACATATCGACAAATTTTGGCTCGTGAAGCAAACTGTGTTGATCCAGCATAGATAAGCAAAACTTCAGTCGTGCTATCTTAGTCGCCTCTTTCAGATGTGGTTTCAAAGCATTAGTGTGACGTCGTAGAAGACCTTCTTTCAGACGTCTGTGTAGCAAAGTATAACTTACTCCAAGGGCTTCTCCCAATGACCTTAAGGTTGTTCGGCGGTGAAGAGGAATATTGACAATACTTTGTAAATCAATCGGAAGTCTCTTACGACCAGAATTTTTTTTCTTTCTTCCAGATACATCAACCGATGCACCAACGGGTGTTTGTTTAGCTCGTTGCCATATTCGTTGCACTGTCCGAAGATGAACTGAGAACAACTCTGATACTTCTTTTGTTGTATTTTTTTCCAGCTTTCCTTTGACAGACCTTTCCATCAGACCATTATAAATTGCCCATCTCTGACCATCAGTGGTATTCTTTTTCTTTCTGTTTGATGATTGATGATCGCCTTGTCCTGTTCAAAATAAATACTACAATTTCATAAGGTACATCTATAGAAACTAAATATGAAAAATCATCGTACACCAGTTCCATTTTATATTTTCATACAGTGAATATAGATGAAGTACGTGATCGTAAAAGAATATTTCTATGTACCATACGTAACATTACTATAACCGAAATATAGATGGATATATAAAAACAGAAATAATACATACCTGGACTTGGAACAAAGTCATCTCCACTTTCTTCATACAGTTCGTTCAGATTTAGTTCCAAAGGTTCTGTATCTGACTCTTCCACTGGATTTTGATTTAGATCAATCAAAAGATTACCTTGAGACGAGGAGACAACCGTAAATAATATTTCTTCTCCATCTTCATCTCTAACTGTTTCATCATCTGGATGAACACCATACCAAAAATTTTCTACTTGGATAACAAATTCATCACTTTCTACCGGTAATGTATTCAAATCAAATAAATAATTTTCTTCATTTGTTGTGGGTGAAAAGTTCAAGTCAAAAGCCATAGATAGATGAAGAATTTAGGAGGTCCCGTAATGCAATATATTGACATCGAAATTTTTAAATTTTTGTTTATTTGCCTCCATTACAAAATTTGGCTCCATTTTTTCCTATTGTCATCAACCAACGTAAAACTGAAATTTTTTTGAGTCCATGAATCAATGTTACTCGTTTGAGTGCTTTGATTTTCAAAATGCATTAAATTATTTCAAGAATATTGACCAAACTTGTGGTGGAGTTACACGTTTAATGATTTATAGAAAAACAATTAAAATAAATAATTTAGTAAATAATTGTAGATATTAAGGGTATAAGTGAACTTTAATCAGTTTTCTTAATTAGTGTGCAAAGTGTCAAAATGACACTTATTTAAAAACAGAGGGAGTACTTATTAGGATGAGTTAATCCAATTAATGGGTGTGTGTTTAAGAAAATATGATTTGATTTAGTGTCTTTAGGGTTTAGACCGTCGCATTTAATGATCAATCCACAATAAACCACTGGATGAAAGGTATGGACCGGTCAGGCCAAGTCGTTCTTAACTTAATCATCAACATGTAAAAAGCGGTCCTACAAGAGCTGCCCCAGAATGGCATGAGGGTTCGTTCCCACAAGAACATCTTTTAATATAGGTTGGCCATGGGCGAAAATAACTTTAGAGTGTTTGTTTGCCTTTTACTCCATGATAATGATTGTACCAATAATAATATGGAGTCGTAACCAACTAAAATATTTTATTTTAAGAACCAACTATATTTTTTTGAAGTACTCTTATCACTTTCTTAATAAGCAATCACCAATGTCAATTACTTGTGATTCATAATCTCTAGTACATACATCCATTATTTCATTGATGTTATTTACGTTATTAGATAATGTAGATAATTTATTTCGATGTAAACTAAAACTGATTAACATCGATATCTTATATATTTAACTATCAAATGATTCTTGCTCGTTATAACCAACATTACATGCTTTATTCTTTCAAAAAACAGACACACACACAACATGCCTTTTTGTACTGTTTGTCAGATCAACTCTTTTGTCAACTTCCGTATTTATACGATTTAGACCTATTGTTTTCATGTGACACCCATTCATCATTATAACGTATAGTTGTATAGTTTTGTTCTTGGCCCAGATCTTATATTATATGATTTTCCTTTTATTTCTTAGATTCGTATGGTAAAGCACTGGTCAAAAAGAAGCAATAATCATACTAAAAGATTTCTTCACACCAAAATAATCCAGAAAAAGCTATCTCAGCCACATATTTATAGATAACAATATAAATTTGAAAACCAATTGATATAAGATAGCTGGCAATATATGTTTCCTTCGAAGCAATGTTTTACATTTCCAAACGCATCTCTTCTAAACAAATACTAATTAGTACCATAAGTACCATGAGCTCCAAAAGATCCGCATAACCTCTCCTTATAATCATGCGTTTTTCTCATACACAGTCTCTTTCAGTCTTATGTCTCCTCTTCACTATATGGACCGTCCGTTCCGTGCCACCACAACCACCGGTTCGGTGCGACCAAACCGGCTGCACCGTATCCAACGCATACGGCGCGTGGCCTGACCGAAAAAACTGCAACGCGGCTAACATCACATACCCAACGACGGAGGAAGAGCTTCGTAAAGCGGTGGCTTACGCGTCTGAGCACAATCTCAAGGCCAAAACCGTTACCAAATTCTCTCACACGATACCGAAACTCGCTTGCCCTTCCGGTTCAGAGGCAATGCTAATCAGCACGTCAAAATACAACTCGGTTATCGAAATCGAACCGGACCGGTTTACGGTTACGGCAGACTCGGGAGTTTCGTTGAGAGAGCTGATAGATAAAGTGGAAGCAGCTGGGTTTAGCGTTGGAACGTCACCGTATTGGGAAGGAGTGAGTATTGGTGGGCTTATTAGTACTGGGTCCCACGGAAGCTCGTGGTCGGGACGAGGAGGTTCGGTTCACGATCATGTTGTCGGAATAAGCCTTGTGGTTCCAACAAATTCATCTGAAGGGTACGCTAAAGTTATTAGAATTGAAGAAGGGAGAGATGATAAGCTTCTTAACGCCGTTAAAGTGTCATTGGGTGTTTTAGGAGTCATCTCAAAGGTATTACTCTCACCATTTGAAGATAGAAGATGTTTGAGAAGATTTTCTTTTTAGTTACAAATTACAGTATATATGAACGTCTTCAATATAAAATTTATACTAACCAACTCTTGTTTAAAATTTATACTAAAATTTATACTAACCAACTCTTGTTTAACCAATTCGTTAAAGTCTTTACTTTACTATCCGTGATAATTATAATTATTTAAAAATAGTTTATATTTTCTTATAAGGTATTTATTAATCTTAATGAATAATTAATTAGTTAAAATATAAAAGTATTTATGTTATGTTGAAAAATTTGTATATAATTTTTTTCTTTAATTTATTATTAAATACTTAAAATGTGTAAACAATCATTTATTCTGATATTTGAAATGATACTATATCTATTTAAAATATTTTTAAAATTAGTAAATTTGCATATGCGGACATAACATTTAATATTAATTTATACTATAAATTTTGTATCATATCATATAATGAATTGTGATTAGATAAATAGTTAATAATATTTTTACTTGAAATATGAAATTAAATATTTTATTAATTTACTTATACAAATAGAAAACATCATCGCTTAAAAAACGGAGAGAATGTAATTAAAGCCGTTAAATATTCTTCGTTTTTTGTTACAAATCATTTTATTAGGTTTAAATCTCATTATGCAGGTGAAGCTTTCGATATTGAAAGCATTCAAGAGAAGTATAACGTATAACTTCACATCTGACGTAGCTCTTGAAGACATTTTCATGGAGCATGGCAAAAAATTCGAATACGGAGACATAACTTGGTATCCTTCTAGAAAAACTGCTGTTTACCGTTACGATGTCCGATCACCAGTCAACGTCTCAGGCAACGGAGTCAACGATTTCATTGGTTTTCAGTCCAACCCTATCTTGATCTCCAAAGGGGTTCGAGCATTAGGTTAGTTTCATTTTTCTTTTAGTAGACAACATTATATATCCGGTTTAATCCGGTTCAAAATTTGAAAAAAATGATGCAGAGAAGTCACTTGAAGCTAGTAAAAGCGAGGACGGGAAATGTAAGACGGCAGACACTACGTTGGCTTACAAGAAACTAACCGGAAACGGTTTAAAGAACAATGGTTTGATCTTTACAGGATATCCGGTTATCGGTAACCAAGGAAAGATTCAGACATCAGGGTCTTGTCTTTACTCATCCTCCATTAGAATTGATGTCTCATGTTCTTGGGATCCAAGATATAACGGTCTTTTCTTCTATGAGACGACAGCTATGTTCCCGTTATCTAGGTTTAGAGACTTTATCCTCGACGTGAAGAAGCTACGAGACATGAAACCCGAAAGACTTTGCGGTATAGACATCTACAATGGTATCCTCATACGTTTCATCAAGGGCTCAAAGGCTTATCTCGGCCAGGGAGAGGACTCTGTGGTCATTGACTTTAACTATTACCGAGCTGACGATGCGTTGACCCCGAGGTTAAACCAAGATGTGATGGAGGAGATGGAGCAGATGGCGTTTTTCAAATACGGGGCAAAGCCGCATTGGGGGAAGAATAGGAAAGTGGGTTTCTTTGGCGTCAAGCAAAAGTATGGACCTAACTTTGACAAGTTCTTGGAAGTGAAGAACAAGTTAGATCCTAAGAAGATGTTTTCTAGTGAATGGTCAGATGAGATTTTTTTTGGAAGAGAAGGTTCCAAGTATGATGGGTGTGCACTTGAAGGGAATTGTGTTTGTTCAGAAGACAGGCATTGTAGCCCTTCTAAAGGTTACTTTTGTAGACAAGGTCTTGTTTATACACAAGCTAGGGTTTGCAGATTCTCCTCAGCCAAAGTTTCAATGGCTTAACTAAAAATTTTTGTTGTTTAAGAATAAAAATTTATTTTCCATCATGAGTGTGTATTGGACTCCTCCAAGATTATTGATAAAATAAATATATAATTCTTACTAAGATTTATTAGATATTCACAAATTGCGGAATACATGTTATATATGTTATGATTCATGACTTGTACAAAACATCAAACACAATGAAGGTATTCATTCACCAACAAAGGATAAAGAACAAAAGACAAGGTCCAAGAGTATGCACACACACTGAATGTTTTATCCAAGTATATGCCTTAACAAACAAACATATTGAGAAGAGATGTGCAGAGCACAGAGATCCAAGAACTGGTGTCTAGCTTATTCTTGATTTCACTAGAAAAAGGAAGGAAGATTCACTTTTACTGTTTCCTGCTTCACTTATTCTTGATTTCAATTGAAATGGTGTCTCTTTGCAACCCTCTTCCTCTCACCATCTGTTTCACATTGAATTAGGAACACACATGTCTTGTTAGAGCTGGACACTAAATATTCAGAACCAGAGACTTATTTAAACTCTGTTCTAGTAAACTAAACTTGAATTTAACTCATTTCTAACTATTATGACTGCAGAAGACACATTAAGTAAGGTGCATGAACCAAGAAAATTCACAGTCTTAGCAACTCACCGGCACATGTCTCGTCCACTTTTGTATTATCTCTAGGCATTTTCTGTAACTGGATGAACCAGCTGCTTAGTCTGCTCCTTAAACAAACTTGATTTTTTCTTGTAGGTTGAGCGTTTTCGAACCTTGAGACTTTCACCAGTTAACATGTAAACATTCCCATGTTCAGCAATGGTGAAATCAGCAGGGTTTCTATTCACGGTGCACACAGTGGGTCCACAACTATTCTTTTGAAGCCACGTGGAGGCATTACTACACCTCTCTGCTTTTCTGTTCTGTTTCTTCTCTTTATCCATCATGTGAAACTTCAAAGGGAGCTTCATGGAATCAGATGCTCCTAGAAGATGGAATCTCCCTTGGTCATTACTGCTGCTAGTGTCTTTTCTCTTGGTTTTCTTCTCTTGGTGATGATGAATCCATGAAGGTTGTGCATTTTGAAATGAGAATGAAGACGCACCAATGGGGAAACTCTTGTTGTAATAATCATAAGGAAACTGGTTCTTGGTTTGGTAGGCTGTTGTCTTACTAGAGTCACCTGTCTGAATCTCTACACGTTCCTTGGGAAGCTGGCTAACATGTGGAAAGTGTCTTTTAGTAGTAGCTTTAGTGTTACCCTGGTGGTGATCAGAGGGAGTGTTTGGTCCAACACGAGGATCCATAAGGCTGAGTAAATGCAATGCAGGTATAGAACTCTCACTATTATTAACTCCACCACCATGTTTGCAACCAAAAGAGAACTCTGAGCTAGACCCACATTTTTGCTTCCCGTTAGCAGCAACAAAGTTGAGGTTCCATGTATTCTCATTGCTTGGTGGTGCTTGTGAAAGCATACCAAGCTTCGTTGAGGGATCCATGTTGAAAGAAACTGGTGTATGATGATGACATTGTGGTTGTGGTGGTCTCATAGAAGATGCCCAAATTGGATGAGAAGGTGCTTGTGGAACACTCTGGCATGTATTACACGCGCGTAACACCCGATATGGAGGCTGTGTAGACATAGTGGGGACATTACCAAGCCATTGGCATGTTTGACCAGAAAACCGGTTATCTTGAGTAGGAGGAGGAGGAGGAAAGATCCCAAACGGAGAAGGTACAAAGGGTTGACTTATACTTATAGGGAAGAAGTCAAGAGACTTGTGTTGTTTTCCAGTCACAAAATGTTGTTCCTCTCTCCTTGCATTGCTATCACAAGGTTTTGAAGTGTTGTTGGTATCCTCCAGGGAGGCTCCATTATCATAGGTTTCATTGAGATCGATCAGTAGAGTGTTCTTGGGTTTGTGTGTTGTTGTTTCTTGTGATGGATGTTTGTCGTCTTCTTTGTCGGGAAGGCACCTTTCGTATTGGTTTTTGGCTAAGAGCTCGACTATCTCCATGGGAATATCGTCGTTTTGGTCTTCATGTGTATTCTCCTTTCTATTCGTCGCTACATGATGGTGTTCTTGGAACATAACTGTCTTCCCCTTCCTGTCAGCATCCTGCTTGGTGGAATAAACAAACAAAATAAGTGCTTAAATGTAATACCAGAGAGCTTTACCTTAAAAATCATGTGAAGAACAACAAAGAGTTTTACCATTTGTATCAGAGAAGATCGATCTGCAACTTCAGAGGTGTTTCTTAGATTGAAGTTCTGAAAAGACAATCTATCTGTATTGTTGTTGCTGCTGAAGTCAACAGCAGCATCTACTCCTGTTCTCAACCATCCATTTGTGTTGGGTTTAGAAGAGGAACCAAACTCTCCAAGACGGTTTGCTTCTACATCTCTTGACTTCACATGATCATTATTCACCGGTCTACCACTAGGCTGATGAGGGAAAGGTTTTCTGAAATATCCTTCTGAAGCCTCAAATAAACTGCCTACTCTTTTCTCATTATTCAATAAATCTCTAGTATATTGAGAACCAAAGCTGATCAGTGTACTCTTCTCATTAACTGATATAGGCTTGTTTTTCTTCTTTCTGGTTAAGCTTAGTTTCTTCTCTGTTCTCTGAGCACTCAGAGGACAAGGGACTGAATACTTTTCCTTCAATGAAGGAGCTGATAAAGCACTCTTTCCAACACCCTCTTGTGAAGTTTCACAAGGAACAAACTCGTCAACAACCTGGAACCTTCTGTTCTTCTGCTTACCCTTAATAAGATCTCTGTCAAACCCACTATCAGTCGACGTACTATAATCTTGATCAGAGTCACAACTTTTGGAGGCATTATTTTCAGAAGTTGTACCAACAGTGATTAACTTCCTGCTGACATAGTTGTTTTCAGGTAACAACACTTTTCTTTTTCTACCCCTTTTGGAAGAAGGAGACTCTTCTTTTCTGATACCACCACTGGTTTTGGTCTCGGGTTGGTCAAGCAGCTCGCTAAGTCTACGAACCTTACGAGTTTTCCTACGTTGTAACCCAGTCATGGCAAGATTTATACTCTCTGATGGCCCGTTGTCACATTCCATAAGAACAAGACTGTCTTTATGATGATTCTTGATGGATTTAGGGGGTGTATCCTCAACCACACCAGCGATCTCAGATGAACCAAAAGTTGTCACAGCCTGACCACCCACGTTATGTTTCTCTTTCCAGCTGCTAATACCTGCTACTTTAGCTTTCTTGTTTCTTACATGCTCTTGGCTTGCTAGCTTTCTGCTCTTGCTATTAACTCTCTTGAGAAACGTCGTAGCTGCAATTGTTTACAAATTTAGTTTTGAGTATCAGCACACTCTAATTTTGCTTGACCAGAGAAAACTTTATACCTCTCTGATCACCCTTCTGAGATCTTCTGCAGTTTACATCCTCATTGACATCAACAGCATTACCTGCAAGAAAATGATAATACAATTAAATGATTATGTTTAATAGAAATAAAGAATGAAGTAACTAGAAAGATTGTTTTACTATAAAGCAATTTTTTAATGTGAAAGCATCCAGATGGAAAATAAGCTAACATAGATGTTATGAGTCAAATTTTGTTGTATGTGATAATCATACAACAAAATAAATTAGTATAGATGATTATGTTATCACTATCTAACATAGATGATTTGTTGCTTTTGAATTGTGAAACTAAAACAAGAACATGCATACCTGCAATATCAGTTCTCCTCTCTTTCTCCTGATCAATAACAGTAAGTGAATTCAAGTTGCTTTGGCTTAGGATAGCCAAAGAGTTTCCATCGAGCTTTTTCCCGCTTATACTACTAGAATTTGGATGCAGTCCACAATCTGAAAGAAGCCACTCACGTGCATAAGTTGCAAGCAAGCTAGTATATAATCAAAGCATATAGTAAACAAATGTGTTTTACCACTACCTTTGCTGGTCCCATCAGCATCTATATCTCTGATGCAGCTCATACAACGCCACCATCTAAACTTTGGAACTGATAGAGAAGGAAGAGAATAGCTTTCTTGGTCCACCAAACTAACACTCTCCTCCGGAAATGGCCAACATTTGTTATGATCCCTCTCGCGGATTTCAGAAACGAATCCACTGCACAAATTTAAAAGAAGAAAAAAACTCGAATTAATGTCATTTCAACTTGTACCTTGCTATATATATGCATTTGGAAGTGATCACATCATAGTAACTGGAAATTATAAACATAGTCTGACATAAAAGGTTGATATAGAAGGCTCACCGTATGGAGAAATGATCACATTTTACCATATCAATCTCCTTGGCAGCGCCTGCAAGATCTATTGATATTGAGTTGATCTTTATGGAGGATCCCATTGATTGATTTGCTTCAAGAATATTTTGATGTCTTAGTGATTATGATTAACTAAGTTCCACCATTATACTCTCTACACAACAAGTGCTGCAAAAATAAACACATGATAATGTTTCTTAGCATCAGAAATGAAAATATTTTTTTGAAGTTATGATGACCAAACTATCGTTGCATATAAAAAGAAACAACGTTTTCAAAATCTTTACTTTCCTTATATACGAAAAACACATTTAACTAAACTGAATTAAGGAAAATGTTATAGCTTATTGACACCATCATATTCAAGCATATTCCATGAATATCCACATAAAATAACATTCCATAACTAACATCTAATTACCTCTAAAATTCCATTGACAATTAAAAATTTAAAACCCTAAGATCTACATAAAATCAAGAACACAATTTCTTAACGAGCATCCCATTTCATAAAACAAAAATTAATCAATAGACATATATCAGTCAACAGTAACCTAAACTTAATCACAAACCTAAAATTAGGGTTTTCAGACACGTGAATAGCCTCCAAAGCTGTAACATTTTTCAACATGACCAGAGGACCCGTTTCAATATTATCTCAAATTTACAAACTCCAAGAAACGTCAAAAAAAAAATACTTATCTAGAGGAAATTAGGGTTTAAATTCAAATTATTTAGAAACTAAATAACAGATAATAAAACACTTAACCGTATGTGATTAACAAAGATAACCGAAGACCCACTAATTAATACGGGGCAGATCTATCCGCACGTGAATAGTCCGTGAATGATATAAAAAAACTAAATTAAAAAAAAAAAGTAAGAACAGTGAAGAAGAGCCCTCGAGAAAGAGAAAAAAAAACACGAAGTCACTAACAAGTCAAGCTGAATCTATTACCGCAAAATCGAACCATATCCGAAACCCTAAAATCGAACAGATCAGAGATTCATGTCGGAGACACGCACCTGGGAGAAAACCCGACCGGAGTTAATCAGAGATGCGAGATTCGAGCTCGATCTTAAGCAGCAAGGGGAGAAAACCACATCGGAAGATTCAGAAGCTTGTGAATAAGAAGATTAGCTAAGCTTCGAGGGTTGATTCTTCGGGAGAGAGTAGAATTTGACTGAGAATTTTCGAGGAACCCTAACGACGTTGAGGAGAGAAAGAAAGGGGGAAAAACTTTTTCTTTGGAGAGAGAGAGACTGTTGAGAAAGAATAGAGAGAGAATCTGAAGCTCTTTTTTCCTTGAAACGAGGGTTTGTTTATATTTTATATTAATTAATTAACATAAATTTGAACTCAATTTTTTTTTAAAAAAAGAAACAACTCATCTCTGGAACATTACACTGCCATGTCACCATCTGGTCTGTTTATTACCAATTACACGAAACAAGATTACGTACCTCTCCACATATTGTCGACACGTATATATGTATTTGGAGCAATAGTTGAAAATGATACATTTCTATCTATGCGATATTTCTTATTTTTAGTGAAAAGATTTAAACGTTTATACAAATAGCTTCATTAGGGTAACAGGTATCAAAAAAAATAAACGACAAGATCATATAAATATTATTATAAAGATTTTATTTGTTTTATTATTTAAGGAAACCCCATATTATTTAGGGGACCCTATTATTTAGGTTTAAATAAAAATTCATATGCCTTTAGTCAAAAAGAAAATTCATGTTGTGTTAGAGGATGAGGCACAAGAAACCAATCAGAAATGTCCACGTGGCCGCAATGTGCGGTTCTTATCACAATCCATTTGCTGTGTCATGAAAATGAAAACCCTAGGCGCGTAGCTATCACGGCGCTTTCTCTTAGCGTGTGAGCACGCTTGGTCCGTGGCGCAGGTCGGGATGGGAGCGTCGGCACGGAGGAGGAGATTGGAGCGTATGGTTCACGTGGAGGAAGAGAGAGTGGGCGAATTATGGGACCAGATAGACAAATAAAAGCCCTAAAAGCATGATAATATTGTATGGGTAGGTGATGTTACCATACCCTAGAGGAGCCCATTTCCTCAATAAATGATAATATATTTAACCCTAATACCTCTTTTTCCCCTTTGCAAAATTTACCACAGTAACTAATGAAGATCCGAAATATTTGGTTCACATAAAACCAGTTTCTTTCTCTTTTTGTATCTTATATATATATATGTGTGTATATGTTATAACAAACAATACGAATGTTCAATAAAAGATGTTATAGTACTGGGTAGATGTATCTTTTATTATTGATTTCTGCTTTTTTGGTGGTAGGATCATCACATGGTACACCAACCAAATTGTTACCCTATGATGTAAGCGAACTTTAACTAAGAAAAAATCCAGCTTAATTGATGTTCAGTAGTTGACTCTATTTTGGATATCAATTCATGGTTATAATACGTATTTGGATTTGACTGTTAGTCAGCTAATGCGTTTTTCGTTTAAATTTCCATGTACTGGCACATACACACGTATATATTTAGAAGTGACTCATGACCATCATCAAGTTGTGTTAGATAATTTACAAACGTATACTAATACTAGCCTTGGTAAAATCAAAATACTATATCATGTAAATCTATATACTGCCTCTTGGAAAATAATATTAGCCTTTTAGATGAGTGGCCTTCAGACTTTAGTGGGCTTGTACCCTTTATAGCACATTTCTCTCTCCTTGATATATTGTATTTTTATAATATTCTTTTGGTAAACTGGATATTTATAATAGTTTTTTCCTAGTTTTTGTCGGCTTTGATGTTTTATAATAATATTCTTTCCTTAGAATTTAGGTTTGTTGCTTTAGTCTATTTGGAGGAAAAATTCTAATCTCCTTTTCCTTCCCACTGACGTATATGATACATGTAGCTTACTTTTGCTACATAAGATCGAAATTATTTTGTTTTGACGCAATAAATCGCGGGGATTAACAAATTGTGATGAATATACCTAAACGTGTTAGTGATCTATTTTGAAATTTTTGATCCAGTCATTTATTTTTGTTACGAAACTGCTCATTACATAGCCCATCTAAAGGTATTAGCTAAATTTCAAAATGTAACTACATATATAACTTTATGCAAAAGGAATTAAGCACATATTCGTAATGATCCTCTTTTTGTGTGGATAACAAAGCGAGGAACCTATCCTCAACCAACCAAACATTTTATCTAGACCGTATAATTCAAGTTTCATATATTTTTGAAATATTATCCTCAAACGTATTTGTAACTCAAGAAAGGAGTATATAACTAATTGATATACTCTTTTAGGTTTGCATACGTGCACAACTCCGCGTCAGTAAGTTCATATACACTTTTGATCAAAAAAACATAAGTTGATATATATAAAAAGTTATAAACCAAAGCACAGAGAACTTACATATATGTATATTAAATGACTTATTTTTGGGTTCACCCTCTAGGTTCACCATCCAATATAATTACATTATTTCATATTTGATATCTTTTAAAAAATGAAACAAAATCTTATTAATTTATATTATGTTTTTAAAAATAAAAATACAAAAAAAAATAATTAATAAAAACAAAAATAATTCTTTTTAAAGAAAAATATTCTAACACTAAACCCTAAACTCTAATCCTAAACTCTAAACCCATGGGTAAATCATAAACTTTTGGATAAATCTTATAGTGTTTTAAAAATTTAGTGTTTATGATTTATGCAAGGGTTTAGGATTAGAGTTTAAGGGTTTTGTGTTTATGATTTACCCAAGGGTTTAGGGTTTAGGATTAGAGTCTAGGGTTTAGTGTTTACGATTTACCCAAAGATTTAGGGTTTAGGATTAAAGTTTAGTGTTTAGTGTTAAAATATTTTTTCAAAAGATTTTTTTATAAAGGTTATCCAAAGGTGTATGATTTACCCAAGGGTCTAGGGATTAGGATTAGAGTTTAGGGTCTAGTATTAAAATATATATATATTTTTAATTATTTTCCTTTTTATTAATTATTATTTTTATTTTTTTTTTTAAAACATAATATTACTTAACAAAATTTTGTTTCCTTTTAAAAGAAATATCAAATATGAAATAATGTAATCTTATTGGATGATGAATCTAGAAGTTCACCCTAGGGGATGAACTCAAGAATAATTCATATTAAATTATTAATTAAATTCTATGTATTAATAGAGAGAGAAAGAGAGAAGCGGTATAAAAGGGAAATTAAAAAGAGGTCTTAGATGAAAAAGCACAGCTTTAAGGAGATGCTTTGGCCACCAGTGCTACCATCATTTAAGCTTTGCATGTGCCTCTCTGTTAGCATCTCGACAACCACATCAACCTTCTCTCTCTCCCCTTTTTAACTCTTGGATTTTTACTTCTTACACACACCCCAAAACTGTTAAAAACACACACACACACACACCCCAAAACCACCATATATATTTATACATATATACTCAGTTTCATGCATCTATGTGTATCTAGCATCCATACATATCTTGCAAATCCCTTCCAGTTTTTGTTGTCTTAAATGTTAATATAAAAAAGTAGTTCTTAGGGTTGATTTTGGGTCTCATTGAGTTTGTTTGATCTTCAAGTTACAAAATGGTTAACTTTTACCTCGACAATTTTAGTTGGTAACCCCAACTTTTGGCTTGAATGTTTTATATAGTTATATCACTCGGTATATAATATTTATATATCAGAATCTAAATTATCTGTTAGAAATTAACATTAATTAGTAATACGTCTATTATTAAGAACTGATAGCTGATATTGTCGAAAGTAATCTATCAACGAAAATGTTACATGAATTCTGCAAAGATAGCTCACTTGATAACCAAATAGTATATAAATTTTGATCATATATATTAGTTATCTACATACGTATTCACATTTATTATCAATTATTAGTTCTAAACCTATAAGAATTATAATAGATATATTGTATATATATTGTGTATAAATACTGAAGATCCGAAATATCTTAGTTTTAAAACTGGGTAGGTGATAAGAGCTTCTTCAGCTTGAGTGAACACCAGACACAATGGAGCAGATTCAATTAAA